AAAAGGCTCTTTTTTTCAACCTCCAAATGTTTTACACTTTCACTTTTAACAGGTCTATAGGGGCCTGTCATTGGGCGCTATATCTATTCACTCTGGAGGAACGCATTGTCAAGTATCCTCCAATGAAGGCATCTTCCTAAAAGACACCTGTCTCAAACAGCTGCCATGGACTTGCCGTGGCACTACGGATAATCTCTGGCCCGCGTTACGGACGTTAGACAAGACGATCTAATGAGCTTCAAATCTGTGGAACTTTTAATCGTTCTACCCAGCCATGTTCTCCAGCTGTTTTCATGGTAGGTTCTAAACCTCGCCCACCGGGGCGTAGCATCACCTTCAGAGCAGTGGGTGGGCTGGAAAGGGCTTCTGCACTTCAGTGACAGGGGGGTGGCATTTTTAGCCAGTCAATGAGCAGGGAGGCTTGAAGGCTGGCTGGGGGGCACGTGCAGCCAGAGCAGGTCATTGTCACACTCTGCTCCCACGTAGCAGGGCTACTTGTGAAAAGATTCGGGCTACCTTTGCCGGAGCTAGCATGCAAAAACTGGCAGGGTGGCTGGTACGGTGCTAGTGACTTGAGCTAGTCCCCTGAGCTCAGACCGGGGGGAAGGCAGGCGGGCCTGGCCGTGAGCTGCGAACCTGAGACAACATCCACGCTGCTATTTTTAGGGTGCTAAGGGAGGGCAGGTCTGTCTAGCTACACATAGAATGAAACAACTGCTCCAAAGCAAATAATTAATAATAAAAACACCAACGTCCCGCCCCTTGGACCATGCAGTTAAACCAAGCCAGAGAAGTTGGATTTCAAACATTGGGAAATGCTGTTTTCCCCCCCCACAGAAAATGTTGATGGGAAGTGACTTTTTTTTCACCATTTTAATCAACATTTTCAGTGGAAATTTTCCACTTCTTGTGCCTCCTCCCCACACAAAATCTTTTACCGCCCCCGCTCCCCACGGCAACCTTTTCTTTCCAGGTGGGGGATTGTTAGTTGGGGGCAGGGCCGGCTCCAGGCACCAGGCACCCAAGCACATGCTTGGGGTGGCACCTGGTAAGGGGCGGCGGGGGGAGCGCGGCGCGGCATTCCGCGGGGAGGGGGGAGCACTCCGGCGGCGCGGC